GAGAATCTTTGTCTTCTTGATATTGAGCCTCAATCCATATTGAAGGCTGCAGTCCTTGACCCTCTGCAGCAAGTGCTTCAGGTCTTCCTCATTTTCAGCAAGCAGGGGTTCTGTCATCTGCATAATGCAGATTGTTGATAGATCTTCAACCAGTCCTGATGCCACACTTCTCATAGAGCCCAGCCTCCCGGATAATCTGCTCTGCATACAGGTTGAAAAGGTATGGAAATAAGACACATCCCTGGTATAGACTCCTTACTGTATTACTTACTAAAATCTAAAATTTTAAGATTACTTTCTAAAGTCTGTAAGAGATGTAAAAATAACTATGAAAAAGATAATTAGGTTTTTTTAAAGGCAATGTGTTATTTTGTTGTTGATTGCCGTCTGGTCAAGCATGATTCATAGTGACCCTATGAACAAAATCCTGAAGCCTTTTAAAAGGGACTAGGCAGAATAAAGCATTTCAAAAGCCGGGAGAGTCATGCTGGGTCAGACAGAAACTAGAATTAGTCACATGGTTTTGGAGAGGTGGTAGCGAGAGGGCTACCACTTAAACAAGGCTGAAAAAATCACAGCATACAAACCACTGAAGAAAAAAAAGCAATGATTTTGATCACATTTAAATTCATTTCAATAAAAGACATCAAGGGAACTCTGGTGGCATAGTGGTAAGAATCTGTTATGTAATTTCAATGAAAGACATTGTAAAGCTTGAAAAGTCAGGATTACTGCACCAATAATGGCTCACACATTTAAAAAAAAGTGGTCCAAACACTTTAGAGAAATGCCATTTGAAGTACAATGAAAAACCATTTCACATCAAATAAAACCATATTAAATCATTTAGGATTAGAACTGTTGACCTTTTGGTCAGCATTGTACCAACCAGCAAGAGGCACTGCACATCCAGAACTCCTAATATACTCACCTTCAGGTACTGTTAGTTTTATTTCTGAACCGGGCTACTAGGTATTTCATTATTATTCTTTTAACTGACACATATTTTATTCAACTCTTTGTATATATTTAAAACTTCATAATTTGGAGTAAAAATGATCTGTAGAGAACTCAAAGGAATAACTTCTATGTTCTAAACTGCACGCACATCATTTATAAACTGAGGCCGCAAATCTTTTAAAATAATCATCTGAAGACTTGGGGCAGACTAAGCTGTTCCACTTACGGTCTTTGTCATGGTTCTGAAATCACAAACTTCTTAAGTTTGAGATGGCTGTATTAACAATTTCAAACAAGAGGGTATGGAAAAATGAAACAGAAAAAGTATTCTGTGCTTGCTAACTTATAAAAGTAAATAATACTTTAAACGAAGTAAATAATGATTATTTTCTCCCAACCACCGTTAAGTGTAAATCCATGAATAATTAATATTTAGGGCTCACAGTGGCGGTTGAGAGCATGGTGTAGGATTGTGTACAAGACTGGGCAGGATGGTGTACAAAACTCCTGTCTGTGTACAACAGGGGCAGCTTTGTTCCTGTGATTCCCTGGAACCTACTTTACCAGTGAGAAGCCATCCTAGGGAGGAATGAGAGAAAGATGTGACAGTGGGCTTGTTTGTAACGTTGTTGTGTATCACAGTCAAAACCGACCCATAGCTGACTCCCGGTGGTTTGTCCATCTTTCACCCGCAGAGCGGCTGGTGGTATCAAACCGTGTGCCTTCAGGATTGCAGCACAGCTTCTTGCCTCTAGACCACCAGAGCTTCATTATCGTCTCGGAAATCCTGTCTGATACCCTCATGTCATTTCTATGTGTAACCGGGAGAAGCTAGGCAGGTTTATTCTCTTCTAGGGTCACTAGGGAGTTATCGTGGCTTAGTGTTTAAAGAATTTGGGTGCTAATCAAAAGTCGGGCGGTTCAAACCCATCAGCCACTCGGTAGAAGAACGCTAACGCTGTTTGCACAGTAAGAAAAGCTTTGAATTCTGAGGCGGTTCACTCTGTCCTAGAGGTTTGCTGTCCACTAGGTGACAAATGGTCTGGTCTGTGGTTTATTTTTAATAGGGTTGCTCAGAGTCAGAATTCCACGGATGGAAGTGAATTTGGATTATTGTTTCAGAGCTTGTAACACTTAAAACTCAAACTCCCTGCTCTCCACCTCATCAGTTTTACAAGCTAGTTCTCTCCCGCAGAGTTGCTGATGCGTTTAAGCAGCCTGAGATGTGCAGCCTCTGGGAGTGCAGCTTAACCCGCTTAGGCAATGTCGCCGAAGCTCCCTTCCTTCTACTAGTTTATTAGAGAAATCATCTGCAGCATCTTGTATGTTAAGTGGAGACGAGGCGCCGAGTAGAAACATGGATAAAACAACCTAGACATCTTAAAGGTCTTAAATTCCTCTTCCGAGTGTCTACAACACAAATAAGGATCGGCGGCAGGTCCCACAAATAACCCGACTACACCCACCGTCCGACAGCACTGGGCCTTTAATAAACCCGCCGCGGCCTTCCCACCTCCCACCGGGGCGCGCACTTCCGGCCGCGGGGACGCTCGGGAGCGCGCTTCGCAGCCTCCACCAACCAGCGGCTGCGCCGGGCCGGCGCGAGTGCGCGCGCGCACATCTGTGAGCAGGTTCGAATCTCCGCCGCTTCGCGGTTGCTCCTAACGTCCGGGTCGGCGCTCTGAGCGGTAGGATCCCGCGCGCTCGCCGCCCCGCCCCCTGCTCGCCGCTCCCCTGTCCCCGCCGCTGCCGGGCGCCTCTCGCCCTCAGTCGCGCGCTCCACCCTCGGCCTCCGCCCCACAGCTCGCAGCGTTCGGCGTCCCGCGCCGGCCGGCTCCGCCCGAGCCTCCAGGGCCCATGGCCAAGCGGCGGGCGGCTGAGCCGCTGACATTCCACGTGCCTTGGAAGCGGCTCCTGCTCTGCGACTTCACGGACGAGCCGCCGCCGCTCTGGGTCCCGCCGCACGGGGCCTCGCATCTGGGACAACCCCTCGGCGTCCCCGAACTGCCCCGAAAGCGCAAAATTGGTGCGGGTGCCATGACCGAGCCCTCAGTTTTGCCCAGCAAGCGCCGCGACGGCGGAGACGGCAGTGCAGCCGGCAACCCGGGCAACGAGGAAGGGGAGGGCCGAAGCACCGCCCCCGGGGAACCCCCTGAGCGGCTCCGCTGTCCGAGAGAGGAGCCCCACGGCGGCCGGCCCCAGAGGGGCGGGGGCGACGAGGGGGCGGGGCGCGCAGCGGCCCCCAGGCCGAACTGGGGGGCCGAGCCTCGCCAGGTAGGGTTCGGGGGGGTGCGTCCTAGGGTGGGCGCCGTGAGGAGGGGGAATACTGATAGGAATCGGTTTCCTGCGTTAGGTGTTGCTCAAAATGCCTCCAAAGGTGGAAATACTGGGGCATCTCTCCCGGAAAGGGACACAGAAGGACCTAGAAACCCCTCCCCTTGTACTTCGTGAAACCATCGGGCGTGAGGGAGAAGGGGCCTTGTGGCATCTGGGAAAGTCTGCAGAGACCTCTCCAAATTATTGAGGAGCAAGGATGTGAGTTTTAGGACTAAGGTGTTCCTGATTCAGGCCCGGTCTTTGTAGTCACTTGCGATGCCGCTGAAAGCTAGACAGTGGTCAAGGATGACAGAGGAAGAATTGATGCCTTTGAGCTGTGGTGCTGGAGAAGAGCGGTGAATATACCATGGACTGCTAAAAAACACGCATCTTGGAAAAAATGCTGCTTGGAGCGAAGATGACAGATTCAGCTCACATGCTTCGGGCATGTTGCTGGGAGAGGAAGACACGCAGGTGAACAGTGACGGCTGCAATGTGCTCTAGTGTGTTAGGGGTGATGACGACACAGGATAGGCCAAGGTTCAAATCTGTTGTTCACTGGGTTGCTATGAGTTGTACTCAAAGGCATTGAACAACAACAGCTAGCAGAATGAGGCCATTAAGTGAGGGAGAAGGACACTTAAGGTCATAGGAGAAGGAATCAAAAGTGGGGCTCAGGGTACACCGTCTCAGAGTAAAAACTATTTGCTGTTGATTCGGAACCCTCCATTGCCAAACCTCGGGCAGGTTTTCTGAGGTTTTAAACCGCACAACTGACCATGGGACCACTAGTGGATTAGAACCTCCAGAAAAGTGCCACCTTTTGGGTTAACCTCAAAGGTAGGAAATACCTTCCTGTTGGATTAGTTCAAGGCTAAATTTGATAGCCATATTATTCTATGTGGACCTATGTTAGGCCTAGTAAAAGTCATTTGCCAGCAACGACCTCAGTTTCTTGGGAGAAGCCTGCTTAAATTTGCAGTGTTAAAGAAGCTCACAAAAAGAGTTCATGCTTGAAAATTGCTTTGAGATCTTATTTTTGTGTAAGGTAAAAACAGAGGTCTTTGAGTTGGGGGTTGGGGGTCGTCCCTCCTGTCCCTCCTGCATATCTCCGTACCTGCCTGCAGTGGTTTGGACCCATCAGCCATTGTGGAGAATAAAGGGTAGTGGCCTCCTGTAAAGATTTACAGCCTCTAAATGATGGAGGGTTGCTGTGACTCAAAACTACTAGGATGGTGATGGTTCCTCCTGAGAAATAACGGAACCTGCCTTATCTCTGCACCTTCTTTTTGATTTGTCTAGCTTTGTCTTTTTCAAAATGGCCGTCATTCGCTCTCTGAGACGAGTGTTTGAAATGTGGCTAATGCAAATTGTTAGGTGTGTGAAAGAAGCTCTCATGACCTGGTGGGTAAAGAGTTGTGATGTTGGAACCCACCAGTTGTGGAAGATAATTAATCTGTGATATTTAAGGCCGTAGGGTCAGCAGTGAGTACAGCACTGAGTTGAGGTTTTTGTTTGAGTGTGAACTCTAGACTAGATTTTAAAGATGTGTGACAGTGGAGCTGTGCTGCCAACCCTCCACCAGCTACTTTGCAGGGAAAAGATGGGCAGTATCCTCCCAGGCCAATTTGTTGTTAGGTGCTGTTGAGTATGACACAACTCTATGGACAACAGACTTGAGCCCATTGTTCCTGTCACTGTGGCAATATCTCATTGAGGGTCATCCTTTCTTTTTGCTTATCCTGATCATTCATCTTTCCAAGCGTGATGTCCAAGGACTAGCCCCTCCTAACAACATGCCCAAAGTATGGAAATTCCATCTCAGAAGATGAAATTTCAACATCGATGCCTTTAAGGAGCACTTTGGTTGCACTTTGTCTAAGACGTATGTTTTAGTTGTTAAGTGTTGTCGAGTTGTAAACGACTCATAGCGACCCTGTGAATGAAAGACCTGAACACTTGTTTAACTTTCATCGTTTCTCTAAGTTAATAGAGTTTCCAGAGGCAAGCTATTTCAGAAGTGGATGGATGTCACTCCTGCTTCCAAACTTGTTTTAATCAAGGAGCTCCACCAAACACTGTCCAGCATGGGTAACCATTATTGTATTTGACACATCAGCATCACAGTGTTCAGCATCAAAGTAACTACGAGTTACCTCTGTACATCATATTGACAGACTAGTGCTATACCACTTAGAAGAATGACCAAAAACAATTAAAACTAGACCTGAGGGCCACAGATTAAAATTACCCACCTTTGGCTTAACTTTCTATCCACTAGACCAATAGAGCTCTCTCTGTGACTCACAGAAATTCTATGAACAACAGATCTAAACCTTACCCTATCTTATGCCATCCCCACAATGTGAGACATGCTCAAGCAAATTGCTACAGTCACCGCATCAATCCATCATGTTGAGGATCATCTTTTCTTCTCTGACCTTCCTCTTCTCTCAGCATGATGTCATTTCCCAAGGACTGGAACCTTAAACTGTTTGTCGTTGAGTGCTGTCGAGTCGTAAACAACTTATAGTGACCCTATGAACAAAAAAACTTAAAAACGAGATATGTGTGTGTGTGTATATATGTGTGTGTGTGGGTATAGATTGTCCATGGGACTTTCCTCTCACAGTATAACTCAAAGGCATCAATTCTGTCATCTTTTTTCATTGTTCATCTCTTAGAAACAAAGCAGGCGAGTGAAAAAATCATGGCTTTAATCTGACAGCATTGCTCGAGAGGACTTTGGAGAAGTCCCTGACTGCAGACTTGCCTTGTGCAGTACATCTTCCGATCTCCTGACAATTGGTACCAAGGGTTTTTATTGTTTATGGATTCAAATAATATGAAATCGTTGACAACTTCAGTCTTTTCTCCATCAATCAAGATGTTGCCTCTTGTTCCAGTGGTGAGGATGTTGATAATGTAATCCATAATGAAAAGCTGTAGTCTTTGCCTCCAAAAACTTGCTGGAAGGTCAGCTGTCTGTCAGTTCTGACTCATTGGTACAAGAAGTATGAAAATAAGGATCATTTAAAAATATTTCAGTGTTTATATTGATGATAATTTGTGATAACATTTGGGATCTATTTGAAGAAATCAGCTTGTTCCTTTTACATTTTTAATATGGCTCAATTTAAAATTGTATATTTATGAAAATTGAATACATTGGACCAGACCTAGGTATTATGGGACATTTGCAAGTTTACATAGCAAGGGCCTTTGACAATATAGAAGTTAAATGCAGGGTTTCAGATTTACTAAGCTCATTTCAGCCACTTCATCGCATTTCTCCATTATGTTCATAAGTGTCTTAGAAAATGTTGTTGTTGTTATGTGCCGTCGAGTCGTTTCTGACTCATAGCGACCCTATGCACAGCAGCCCTAAACCCTGCTCTATCCTGTGCCAACCGCACCGCTTCTGACACACCCATCCCGATTACCCCAGTCACTGAATCAATCCACCTCCTAGAGGGTCTTCCCCTCCTGCGCTGTCCCTCCACCCTCCCAAGCATGATGTCCCTCTCCAAGGACCCGTCCCTCCTGGCAACATGTCCAAAGGATATCAGACGAAGCCCCAGAATCCTTGCCTCCAAGGAGTAGCTTGGATTATTCCTCTCCAAGATGAATCTGTTTGTTTTCCTGGCAGTCCATGGTACATTCAGTACCCTTCTCCAGCACCACAGCTCAAAAGCATCCACTCTCCTTCTGTCCTCCCTAGTCATTGTCCAACTCTCTGATGCATAACAGGCGATTGCAAATACCATGGCCTGTATCAGACGCACCTTAGTCTCCAGAGAGACACTGTTGCTCCTGAGTACTTTAGAGAGGTCCATAACAGAAGACTTTCCCATTGCGATACGCTGTCTTAGAAAATAGGATCAAATAAAAAATTAAAGTTCCTTTGGCTTAATTAACTTCTTGGTGGAAAATTCAGATAACGACAATTTTATCTATAGTGTAAATTACTTTCATCTCAAGTTTTGTTGGCCTAATGTCTGAGTCTTACCTAGACTTTTTCTTCAGATTTCTCTGATAGAGTGCTCATAATAAACTTTAACCAAATTATAATACCATAAAGATCTGTTGAATATGATGAAAAGTTATATAGTTTGAAAACTGTCTTCAGAACATGTTTTGACTGTTATGAATCAGGTACCACACCCATACATAGGCTTGTCTCTCCTTCCAGAATATGCTGACGGCACTGTGCCACAGAATTGATAAGAAGGAGGTATAGAAATATATGAGACATAGAAATGTCATTACTTATATAGACTGCATAAAGATGTCTTCTTAGACTTTGGATGCACGTGTTATTTCCACTGTAGTGATGACTTAACCGGGCTGTCTTGTAGGACCTATAGAACACAAAGCAGGGGAAAAAACCTCGGCTGTATAATTTTCTTCACCAGGACTTGATCCTGCTTCCTTTTCTTTTGGAAAAAGCCCAAGAACTCTGTCAGCGCTCCCAGTTTGGTGGTTGGTAGATCTGTTCTTTGTGCTCTTTTTCTTCATGAGCAACATGATTTCTTAGTTTCTCACTTTTCTTCCAAAAGCATACTACACCTAGCCTGCTTTTATTGACTGTCTCTACTTGTTTCACTTTTACAGTTGTTATTATTGTTTTTGTTATTGTTATGTGCCATTGGGTCACCTGCGACTTACAGCAACTCTTTGTACATCAGTCCTAAACCCTGCTCTATCCTGTGCCAGTCTCACTGTCTCTGACAAACGTACCTGTTACCCCAGTCACTGAATCTGTCCATCTCATCGAGGGTCTTCCTCTCTTGTTCTGTCTCTCCCAGGCATAATGTCCCTCTCCAAGGACTGGTCCCCCCTTGCAATATGTACAGAGTATGTCGGATGAAGCCTCAGAATCCTTCCCTCCAAGGAGCAACCTAGTTTCACCCTCTTCAGGATGAACCTGTTGGTTCTCTTAGCAGTTCACGGTATAT